TCCAAACACCAAAAAATCCAAGCACAAAAAAACCAGATAAATCCAAAAACTGTGACAGCACAAATGTCTGAGCAGAGACCAAGTAAAACCTAGTACTGAGTGGCAAGATTCTACCGTGAGTAGTTAATCATCCAGCGATGTGAAGTGGTTCCCTCTCCTCTTAAATAGAGCTCTGCTGCGGTTGATTAGAGGATCTGCAGCTGCCGCTGATCGGTAATGCCCCACAGCTGGTGAGTGCCCTCTCCTGGAATGACAGTCTTACAAAGATGTTGTGGAGAAGAGGGAGTACTCACCCCGTCACACAACAGACGCTCCCTCCAGTCGAGAGGTCGACGCTCCCTCCAGGCCCCTGGACTCTACTGGTCCCTGCCTCCTCTCCATCGGTCCCTCTGTCCCTCTTGGCCCTCCCTCCGTGTCCCCGTCCTCCCACCCTGCTCCGTGTTCCTGTGGGCACCTGGAATCTGCCCTTTGAGGGGGGGTTACTGTCACACCCTGTCCTGTCTCCCCATTTGGTTCAGCCATGTGTTTCTGGTAACTGCTTCCCCCTGCCTCTCGTTTTCCAATCACCCAAGCTCCCAGCCCTCTTGTATTTAAACCCCTTCAGTTCTGTGTCTCGTGTTGGATCATTGTTTCTATGTCAGCGTGTTCCCGATAAAAATCCCTGTTTTAATGTTCCTGTCTGCCTGCCTGCCTCCTTCTTCACCCGCGTGTGGATCCTCACCTCCGTCTCACTCACCAGCATGCCTGACAGTGGCGTACTCGAGAAGGAAAAACAGCTTCAGAACCAGAGAGGATCTGGTAATTTCAAACCGTAAAAATGGATTTGCTTTGCTGGTATAAATCGTTGAATTAAAAACACGAGGGTGATCAGGCCCCGCTTACAGGATTTTAGCTTGGGCGAATGTCGGGATTTTAGAGCATGCTCTATTACCAGTTACACCAAGCAGAAACACAAACAGACAAATGAACACATTCACTCCCTTTTCAAGGTAAAACTATCTTGTAAGCAAAAGCTTTGAGTATATCAGTCTTGGTTGTATTAGATGAGTCAGTGCTTATAGCTGAAAAGGGTGAGATGAGGATTATAGCGGAGAGAGGCTTCTCCATGCTTCAACAAAAACCCACCAAAAGAGATTTTATTTACTTTAAAAAGTATGTAACTAATATGAAGTCCTCTGATTTGATTAGGCTGGCTTGGCTTACCATATCTGTAGCGTTTTGGATTGTGGCTACATATTTTTTAAAAGATCAATAAGATGTGATATTCCATATGAATATGAATTATCAGCCGGATTGGTCTTTGAACTTAATATTACCTTAGGTTCTTTGACTACTCAGGGAACACACACTTCATATTAAATATCCATAACTGGCTTTCTTTCATTGGAATTACACAAACAGCCAACAAGGGTTGTATATGTTTTTAAAAATGTATCATATGCTATGTTCACATCCTTAACATAAACTCCACTCCAGTTTTCCTTTAACAGGTCATTACAAAATGTTGTTATTGCTTCCTCTGACCTTATTCTAATATGCTTTATCTGTTCAACTTATTTGGTTGTTTTTTTATTTGACTATGATGTATTATGAATATTGGTAGGTGGTCGCTTATATAACTTATTAAAAGACCACTATTAACTGCCTTATGTGTTTCATTTATATAAATATAGTGAATTGGTGTAGCACAGGTACTGGTAACTCTGGTTGGCTTAGTAATCACAGGATATAAACTCCTACTGGACATTGCATCTACAAAATCTGTAGTGGTTTTGTGGTTTTCTTGGTTAAGTAAATCAATATTGAAATCTCCACATATTAACCAGGTTTTCTTGTCATTTAACCCATCTAAGATTTTCACACCTTTCTCTAAAACATTCAGTTTTAGAACCTGGTGTTCTATAAACACAAGCTACTATAATACTTCTTGTTTTATCCGTCTCGATTTCAACAGCTACACATTCCATCACATCTTCCAAGGCTACTGACATACACTCTACTATTTTACAATTCAAGGAACTTTTAACATACAATGCAACCCCTCCACCTTTTTTCTTGACTCTATTTTTATAATACAAATCATACCCTTCTATAACAAAATCAATACTATTTTCTTCATTTAACCATGTTTCAAATAAAGCAATCACTTGGAAGTGGCTTTTAAATGTTTTCAAGTAATCGTTCATCTTATCAAAAGTTGCATAAAGACTTGTACAATTAAGATGGATAAATGAAAAATTATCTAGATCAATAGAATCATTAAATTGATCATTTGTATAATATGTACAATTGTCATTAATTGCATTTAGTAGATTACTATCTGGATCAATATTGGTTTCATAGTCAAGTGACCCATCTTTGCCTGTGACAGGACCTTACGGTCATCATTTTAGCCTCATTTCTATTTTCACACGGTGGCGGCTCCAGAAATGTTTTCCTGCAGGTGCTATGAAGGAGCTAGTCTTTTTATTGAGGGTGCTATGAAGGAAGTGGTCATGCATACCTATTGTTCTCTAAAACACCTTCAACACTAGCAGATACACATGCGTGCACAAAACCTCAACAACACCTGAAACAATCATTAATATACATCATAAACATGAACAATCGCTGACTTTTCCATGAAATCATAAACACATACAGCCACACAGAAAACCATCTATAGTGTTGCAAGGTTAGCTAACAGTAGAAAAAAAAGAAAAAGAAAAAAAAAGGTTAGCTAACATTAGCGTTAGCATTTCCAGCTGCAAAACCCTGGACTGCTGCGGCGGTTGAGGGTTGACTCTTCATCCAGATCCGTAGGTTTTTGTGCGTCTGAGATCACTTCCAAACATTCATTCGTTTCTGACTGAACCCGTGGAAATGTGGGCAACAAAAACCGATCCATTTTACCACTAGCTCTACCTTTCACTCGTTCAGGTGGAAAATGAGGTCAAAGGTTAACATCAATTTCCTGTTTCGCTTTAAGTCTTTACTATCTATATGATAATTTACTGATTATATTTGTTTTGTATGTTAAATATTATCACATCCACACGTTCAATTAAAATTGAATTGTAAAAAAATAAATCTAATATTTACTTGGGGGTGCTATGGGGGTGCAATGACTAATCTGGGGTAGCTATAGCACCCCCTAGCACCCCCTGGCACCATCTCTATCATTTATCCAAGGCTTAAGTGTTATTCTTACTGGTCATCATTGAAATTAAAAATATCAACAGCTATTTTCTTACTGATACATAATAATTTAAGGACATGTTTGTTTTAGCTTCCACATCATGTTACTATAGTCACATTTTATTTATAGATGGTGTTTTCTCTTTATTGTTAAAGGTTCCAGAAATGCTGTCAGACTTTATCTTTTCGAAGTTCACTGGGTTTTTTTTCTTCACACATCTGCACTGGTCTCTAAATGAATGCCTTGTGAGGTCATCTGTTTGTGAAAAGCTCTGGTGCTCCGGCTTCAGGAACAAGAAGTTAGTTGGAGAAGAATGGCAGGATGTGTATCATTTACTGCTGACATCTACCTCTGATCAGCTGGTTTTCAGTTAACTTGGTTTTGCTGGAGGCTCATCCTGCAAAATGCAAAACAGCTGGAGACAGCCATTTTCTGTCTGACTCCCTCTGAAGTTACTCTCTGAAATGTTACTGTTTATTGTAAAAACTCCAGGCCGAAATCTCCCTCTGCTGAAAGGGAGAAAAAAAAAATCCTCCAGAAACAGGTGTTAGCTCACCACAGGTCCAGGTTTGGTCAGATCATCCTGTCATGAGGTGAGGGTGGAGATGACAGACCATGTGTGGTGAAGGGTTCAGGAGGCAGAAGAGCAGGCACAGATGAACAAATAAAAATGGATTTAATGGTAGCAGCACGAGCACGAACACGAGCACGAGCACGAGCACGAGCACGACGAAGACAACGCAATGAACCGACAACGACAGGAACAAAGAGGGGGGTATAAATACACAGAACAATCAGGGAACACATTGGCAGGTTAACGAGGGGCAGGTGGGAACAATGAGGCAAATCACGGAAGGAGCGACACAGTCAGGGAGGCCGGGGCGAATCATGACAAAGCTGATTTGAAGTTTGTTATTTTTTTCTAGACATGTTTAGAAGGAAAATTTCAAATATATTAAAATCAATACGTAACTATTTGGATTTTAGTAGCTTTCATGTTATGTGATTTAATAAAATTTTAATTTGACATTTATGTTCTCTCTCTCTTTGTTGTGAAAAAGTTAGATATGTTTTAGAACTTAAAATTTATGCTTTGCATCCGTCCACACGTGTAGCTGCTGGTCAGCTAATAGCCGTGTCATCTCAGGACATGTTGCTTCAACTATTAACGATCTACGTTTAAATCTTTATTCTGAATTGCTTATTCCGTTTTAGGCCACAGTCTTGTTATTGAAATGAAAACAAAAAGAAAGGATGCTTATGGAGATGTACAAAATTGGCAAGATATTATTGTTGATCAATATCCTCCAGCTCCGTTCTAATGACAACGTCCCATCTGTGTGTGTGTGTTGCTGTCCAACTGTCAGCAGACCAGGTCAGTTGAAATGGCAGAGAAACGAAAAACAGCAGACGTCAGGTCGTTTTTTAATGCTCCAGAACATCAAGTAAGTAGAAACTTGCATTTTGATAAAGACATCTATAAGAAAGAAATGAAATTGTTTCTAAATGGTTTCATGAGGCAAAGTCCAGTCACTGGAGCACAGGCAGCCAGAGCCTGTCAGACACAGGCACAGAGTCTCAGGTCAGTCTCTTGCCCCCCCCCCCCCCAAATTGAAATGGGATTTCCGCCCTTGATAGCTAGTGAATCAGGAGAATCACCGGCTGATCTTTTTTTGATGCGCATAGAAAAGAGCAAACTCCGCCTTTTCTGTACGCCGCGGTGTGAGACGGCTACTAAATGGTGCTGACAGACACTATCACGTGAAGTAGTAGTGACTAGGCGGGCTCGAGACAGTCCCCAGCCAATCATGGCCATTGTTTTGCGGCTTCCCATTCGACAATAAACATTGCGAGTCGCAGAATACCTCAGTGAAGCAAAACACGTCAAAGTAGTGTGATGTCAGAGCGGTGCAGTTGCTTTGCTGGGATTTTTCGGAACTATTGCAGAAGTAGAAACTGTGGTGGAGTGGAGCACTTTGCTGTTTTAAAGAGAGGCCACGCTACACTACAGCTCAGCCATCTACCTTCAGCACCAGAAACCCGCTAGCTTTAATAGCTAGCGCGAGTTAGCTAAGTTAGCCGTTACATACCCTCGTTTCTCATAGGCAGCTGACCTCGACAACAACAAACACGCATTGAGTACAATTAATTTGCTCTTCGGGATCGTTGCTCCCCCTTCTCTTCAACCCTGCTCCCGCATGGTGCTCCGCGGACGGTTTCCGAATATGAGCCACCATGAGTCAAAGAGATACCTTAGTTCATCTGTTTGCCGGAGGGTGAGTACACTCCTCGGTCATGTACGCCAGGCTAGCTAGCGTCATTGCTAGTAGCTATCAGGATTCATTACAGAACATATTGTGCTCTAATGGTCCTGGGATTTTAGCTCCATTAACGGGCTAAAGTGGGTTGAGCAAGCTCCACACGTTAGCTAATCAAGCTCACCCGTGCGCGTGCTCCTTTAAGAGTTGACATTTCAATGACACCCGAAAGTGTGAATGAAATAGCAGGTTGGTGGTCGCGACTTCCGTTCCCACGAGCAGCCGGTGTGTGTGGCATCGGCAGTGAAATATTAGTATTTGATTTGATATAAATCAGTGAAGCGTACGCTACGTTGTAAAGGTTTTAGGCCCGCGGTGGTTGCTTGAGAATGCACACGTGCACTCAGGCTTTAAAGGGCAAAGTAAATATGAAGGGACAGACTATCTCAGCTGTTCTGAAGCGTTTTTGGGATTCCTGGTAAACGACTGGACAACAACAACAACAACAAACGTTGTCCTCAGACCGCATCTGCAGCAGAAAGGCAGCTTTTTAGCCAGAGGAAACGAATGAACCAGCAGCTTTGTGTTGGGGTAAATCTAGTGCAAAAGTAAAAATAGTCACACCTCTGCTCGTGGAGCCTTGCCTCGTCATGTTGCTGTTTCTGACCATTCCAAACGTGTTATTAATACAGAAGGTTGACGAGTGACCTCCAGAAGAATTCCAAGATTCACGAGGTTTTGATTCCCTTGTGGATTTTCTCTTCTGTTTTCTGTGATATTCAGCTAACGAGAGAGAAGCTGGAAGGAAGACCATTCAGTCATTCTTCTCAGATGTTGTGTATGGGATAAATAAACTGCTGCTATTTAAGTGTCCCGTGTTCCCTTTAGCTATGTACATAAGCTGCATGCCCTCTGTTAGCTTACCTCTGCCAGAGATTGCTTTGTTATTCTGTCTTTGGTACGGGTTGAAAATTAACCCTAAGTGGAGATAACTGCTTTTAATATGCCCCGGTCTGACCCGCCGGCCTTTAGCTGTTCTCCCAGGGTGTTTTATTTAGTCCGGTGTGTTTGGGTGTTTGTTGCCATCCTGAGCTGCTTTTGCTAATAGCACTGAAAAGAGGGCTGGGTGGTTTTTGATCACAAACGGGTTTGAATATGTAGATAAAGCAGTGATTGTGGTTGAGCACTGTTTTATACTCATTCTCAGCCTGACCACTTTGCTAAAGGTTTATTTAATTGATGATTGTCTCCAGCTTATTTCTGCCAACACCCCTCTACTGGGAGTTGGTGGTTTACATTAGTGGGTCTCGGTGTTGGTCAAGTCATGTGTTTTGAGAAGACATGCAGAAATGACATTAACTTCGAAGAGAATACTTCAGCTGTTACAAAAGGAGAAGACAGGCGGCTGATTGGCTCTTTAGCTTGTGTGTATACCTCAGCAGGAACTCAAGTCTTTTCTTTTTGTGAGTCTAAATCTAAAGGCTTTGGGAGCCTGACTTGGACCATATTTGTGCTAGCATAAGCAGCAAATGCCATATCTGTTTGCTTTTGGTTCATATAAATAGTACTGTATACTGTTCTGTTGCTATGAGTAATGCTGTTTTCTTTAGACCAGAGTTGGGCTCAATATTCCTCCAAATGTTTTCCTTTAAAGCTATTTTTACATAATAAATGAACAGGTAGGCTCTAATAACTTTGCAAAAATAATTTAAAATATTAACAAGCTTGTTTAAAAGTATGTAGTTTGTGATAAAATTGTTTAAGTAAAAAGTCCCAGATACCTCGTGAAGTATTTTAATTATGTTATGGAGAAGAAGAGAGTAAAACACGTCTTTACTACTTCACCTTCTTCCTCTCTATCCCTGTCTTTGTGCCAGGTGTGGAGGAACGGTAGGAGCCATGTTGACTTGTCCACTGGAAGTCGTGAAAACTCGCCTGCAGTCATCCTCCGTCACTCTTTACGTGTCTGAGGTTCAGCTTGGTGCTGTGAACGGCGCCGGCATGGCCCGGATGTCTCCGCCAGGCCCTCTGCACTGTCTCAAGTGGGTACCTGACCACAGCAGTGTCCCTCAGACTCACAAATGCAAACCTGTTATGTCTGCACCATGATCTCATGTTGCCCTTCACTGTGGTAAGGCCTGGTATTCTCGAAGGAAAATGTATGTAGATTTAAAAGTAAACAATGTTTATTTATATTGTTTGCTTCATACATTTTTTGCCCTAAAATTTGAGTAATGTTAGGGTAAGAAGTGTTGAACTGTTGCTAGTTCTGCCTGCAGCGGTTGGTTTACATTTGTAGTACTAATAATATAATATTACAATAATGACCAGAAAACAAAGTTTAAAGGTGTTTCTGTGCTTCCTGTTCAGGCTGATTTTAGAGAAAGAGGGTCCTCGCTCTCTCTTCAGGGGCCTGGGACCAAACCTGGTGGGCGTGGCCCCCTCCAGGTAAACCTTCTTTCGTCCTTATGTAACAGTGTTATTTGTCAGAAATGCTCTTACACAGTCTAAGTGCTTCAAATAGTTTTACTTGAGTATCAGAGGTGGGAAGTAACAAAATACATTTACTCACGTTACTGTAATTGAGTAGCTTTTTTGTATATTGATACTTTTTAAGTCATTTCTAAAAATTTTACTTTTACTTTAGTAAGTTTTTAAAAAAGAATAGTAATTCGCTACATTTTAAATCATATCCGTTACTGAGTAAAAATAAATTATAGGCATAATACAGGGTGTCCGCGGGGTT